ACGATAGAAGTCTGATGTTAATATATAAAAATAATTCAATAGAGAAAAGTTTGCTTCCTTGTAGAAAGCATTTCTCTACAACTGCTCCATGTCTGGAAATCCACATCAAAACACAAGCCAACTCCAAATGTACAACAGTAAAAATTTCAAAGAATTACCTGATCTCTCCAGGGTTAATAAAAAACGAAGATATTTGTTCATGTTGTGCTTGAGGATTTTAGTATCTACTTGGTCTAGTCAAGGCACTCAAACAAATGCTTATGTCACAATGTGCTGCTGACCAGCACACTGACAGCAACTTCTGGGTGGCAAAGATAATTATGGCAGGAGGGCAGGACATAGTAACTTGCTGAAGTCCCACCCTTATTTGCTGTAAAGCAAAATTTTCATTTCTATTACAGTTTCTCCCTCCTCCTGCCCAACCCCCCAGTTTCCTTATCAGTGTCAGTATCACTTTGGGTAATTTTTAAAAAAATCAAATTTATTTTCAATATTTACTCTACTTACTTTTTATACAGCTTAGACACTTAAATTGATTAGTCAATTTCATTTCCTGGTTCTCATGCATTAATGCCATGTTGCAAAGTTTGACCTGTGAAAATTACAGGGGAGCCATTTAAATATTAAGCAAAATATTTCTAATTAGAGGGAGCTATAAAAGCTTTTTTTTGTTTTAAAAAAAACCATGCACAAAATTAATTACTGAGCCTAAATTATCTGACAGCGTCCATTTAACCTCACACAGGCAGGTCTCAACTGACAACAAAATTACGAAATATAAATGTAATTATATTGCGTTCAGTGGGGCTAAAAGTGTTTGGAAGATTAGGGCTAAATAACGGACATTTTACACAGCAGAAAATAAATGTATGATAATGGCCACTTTGATAGCACAGAATAAAGGCTTCCAAATGAACACTTGCCAAAGAAATCTTTAGAACAGAGTTGGCTTGTGCCTGATTTTACGAAAGTATGCAAGGGAAAGGGTGTGAGGGAAAAAGAAAAACGCAATGAGCCTGCCTCTCTCCACAAGCCCTGAGAAGAGGCTGCACATAATCTGCTCCTTGCATGAACCTAAGCACAAGGACTTCATGAGGTTAGCTGTGACCATGGGGCAAATCTCTCCCTGAGTGTGCGGGGCAGGACCAGTGGAGACTGCCCTACAGGAGCACACATTGCACATTTGCAAAAGATGGCATACTAGAAACGCGCCGAGAAACCATCATATCTATATCAGAGGAAGGAATTTTGCTCCCAAGAAGTTTCACATTGTAGCAGAGCTCAAGAAGATTTTCCTTTTTAACTTTTTGGGAAGTTATGAACACATGTGAACAGAAATTTGAATGGAAATTGTTTTGCATCTTTACCAAACGTAGCTATTACACGCAGTCACTCTGAAAAGGGACGTTCTGTATTTTAAAGGCTCCATAAAGTGACATCTCCCATCCATAGGCAAGTGAAAGACATTACAAAAGAATAAAACATTTTACGGTGCAAGTAATATGTTGAAATCTTAGCCCTTTTGCCATGTAAGACTGATACATAATTTTCTGCACCTGGCAATTCAATGAAATGACAAGAAATCTCTGACTACTGGAAGAACAGTATAAAGAACAGTTTAGTAAACTGAAAGACACTCTTGACCTCACTATCAAGTGGTTTTTCCAGTGTTCATTTCAAAACTCACAGCTGTAATCATTAGCTATCTTAGGTTGATGCCATTTTGTAAATTACTTGCTTGAACACTAACAGAAAAAGATACAGTACTAAGCCTTCAGAGCTACCAGCCAGCATGAGTTCCTAGGTTTTAAAGACTCCTGTCAAAAGATTCCATCCATCCTTGGAATCTACTTAGATGGAAATACACAACAAAAGCTTGCATTTAATAGATTAAATTCTATTCTACAGCTACACTATGAACTGAGTGAGATTCCTCTGCTCATGTCCTCGTACTAGCATGAACGCAAGTAGCATAGCTGCAAGCAGCACGTGCAGTCAAAGCACAGCTTAGCTGTGCCAAGTCCAAACCAGCCTGAAACCAATGCCCATGTCTCTGCTGCTGCTAAACATGCTACTGCAGCTATGCTGCTATTTATAGTTATTCTACCTTGATAAAAGCTCCTGCAAGTAGGAGAATCACGCCCTTAGTTCAGAGTGAAGACATAGCCTACATTTGTTTCAAGAGAAAAGTTAGCATTTCTGTTAACTGTTTCCCTTTCCATATAATGGGGGAAAAGTTTCCAATGAGAAAAAAAGAATACTCCCAAAATAAATTACCAAATATAATACAGCGATGAAGTATTAATTCAGATGCCACTGCAGTAAGTGATGTTTTAGAAACCAGAGCGATTATACAGATAAAACACAAGCCTCAGTTCTGCAAATACTTATGCATGGGACTAGTTATACAAGCGAAGCTACTCAACTACATAAGAGTTTGCAGAATCAGGAAAATATTTTGTACTTGGCAACATACTTTTGAGGATTTCCTCACTACTCCTGTGTTTCCTCCACACTGAATACAAGTTTTGTGGAGTGTTCTTAAATGTGTGTTTATTTCATTTCTTTGCCAAAGCTTATATCAGGTTTAAGAAAATTATTTAATTTAAATTTACAGGAAAGAAATTCAAAGGGATCATCAAGCTTTTCCATGCAAGAAACAGCTATTTCTCTGCTCCACATTCTACCTAAAGATGTAAGTCAAGTGTTTTTTTACATTTCTTGGTTACATTACGAACACATCAGTTATTAAGAGACAGGATTTAAGTTTATTTCTCCCTTCCCCAATTTTGCATTTCATTCAACTAGGTCACCAAAACCAGGTAAATTTAACTTCTTGGTTTTTACTTAAGCAAAATGCTACAAAGTTTCCAATTCACACACCACAGGAAACTGTAGGTATTTTCAGTAGCATTCTTAAAAATTAGTAAACCATTTCTATTAATAGTTTTATCTTTCAATGTTTTGCATGTTTAGGTAAAATGCTGCTTCTATCACTATAGCAACTGAGCACCTTCTATGTAAAACTGATTGGCAATAGCAGCGTTCCTATGGGACTTCGTGTATCTCTGGGTCATCTCCCTTTTTGGTTTATTAAAATTTTTGCTTATAGCACAGTTAAGGTTTTGGTTGGTTTATTAATTCTGGGTGTCTTTGCTACGGATGTAAGCAACTAGTGACTAGTCGAATATCTGGTAAGACTTAGGCTTATCAGGTAGTCGAGTCACTACTCAACCACTCACTTCCCCTGTCCCTTGTTACCTCTAAATAGAGGGGTAGAGGAGCAGCAGAGCAGGACCGGGACCTGGACCGCTGCACCTCTGCTCTTACTAGATTTAAAACGTAGTGTTGCACCTGGCTCCTACTACATTTAAATTGCAGAGCTGCAGCGTGGCCCCTTATCAACTAATCATGTAGCCGATACAATTTGAATCGGCTACATGATTAGTCAAATTACCTGCTTCTTAACATCCTTAGTCTTTGCTTGTTTTGGGGAAGGGGATTCAGGGAGATGGGACAGGTAAAAAGGGATTATTTTTGTGTCACTCTTGTAATGACGGAAAGGCATTGTCAAAAAGGAAGATTCTGCAGCATCTCCTAAAAAGAGACTGCTAAGTTGTTTAAATATAAATTATCTCCTGTATTTTATTAAGTATTACCCTGCAGGTCTAAAATCTAAACCTCTAACATTTTACAATCAACCCTCAACCTCGCTGCAAGGTATTTATTTTACAGATAAGTTAACTGAGGAACAAAGACATGAGGTGACAAAGTCAAGAAAATAACTAAACAGCTTTAATTGCTAAATTAATAATAATAATGCTTCCTTTAAAGGAATTCTTGAGGATGCATATTTTATCTAAAAAATGTGCAAAATCCTTGAAAGCATTCTAAACATATAACCCACACAGAACACACACAAAAAGTACCATCACAGGTTTTTTATCTTTGTTTAGCAAAAACACTTTTTCATGGCTTAGACTAGTCCATTACCATACAGATGTTCTACACATTGTTGCTATCAGTATATATTGTTCTAAAGCAGTGGGGTCATCGAATCCAAAGTTTGAGAACCTTTCACAGAGCAAGCCTCTGAGTGTGACCTCCCCCTTACAAATTAAAAGTACTTTTCAATATATATTAGCACCATTATTAATGCTGAAGGCAAAGAAGGGTTTGAAGTGGAGGCTGACAGCTCGCAACCCCCCATACAGTAACCTTGCAATCACTGAGGGATCTGCCCGACTGCCATTTTGCAGAACCTTGTTCTAATATAACTGCTTGCAGAGACTATGTCCTAAAACTTCAGCCTTTTAATCCTATTCTCAAAGCAGAATCACATAGGTAATGAGAATCTCAAAAATCCATAGCTGGATGTAGCTTGCATGGTCTTTGCCTGATGCTATCAAAAACGTCAAATAGAAATAAGGTTTGGGGTTGTTGGGTTTTTTTAATGCTCACAAACAAAGCCTTTATTACGCTTTATGTATTTTCAGCTCATACAAGGTCAGATTTTCAAAAACCAGAAAAACTTGAACAGATACCCAGCGATTCATTATTTTTCCAAATCACAGCTATAGAAAGCAATGCTTTTGGGATAAAAGACCATTCTTTGCTTCCTACATTTTCAAAGCACTTCACAAACACTCATTAATCCTCATATCCCGGGATATTACCCTCATTTCACAGATGGAAAAGTTAGGGCAAGTCACTTCACTTAAGGTTATACAGCTAGTCAGTGGCAAAGTCAGCATTCCCAATCCTCCCTTCACACAATGGCTTCTCCCAAAAACCAAGAATGAAATCATATATGACATGAAATCATATTACACATCATCCCAATGCGCTACTCACCACCTTCCAGGCAAGTTTTTAAAGATTCTTCTCTCAAACCAGGCACCATTTCTATTACTGTACAAATGGACCCTAATGGTTAATAAACAGAAATGAATATTTCTACAACAACTATTCAAATACTTCAATATCTAGCTCAAACTCACCCTCACTGGACCAAATCATAGGTGAGCTTCCCCCTACAAGTAAGGGGACAGGAAACTCCCCACATTTCCATTTCCTGTCATGCTTTTAAGTCAGGGAGGGAACAATGGGCATTTGCAACCTCTGTGCAACAGGGCAGATGTGGATTCAACCCTTACAACCCTTAGGTATTAGGAGCTACCCTGCAGGAGACCAGGACTCAGTTCATTTGTCACCCCTCTGAGGACAGGAGTTCAGCCCACTAGGCATACATTATGTTAATTACAGACATTTCATGCAGCCTTAACAACTGGAGGCGAAGGGGAACAACACTCAGCAGTTGAAAGGGGAAGGCGAATGATGCCATGAAGCAGGTATTCCGTCTTATGCCCTCCCTTTACCGAGATCTGCCTGGGGTTCATATTTTCTACTCAGAGATGGACGAGTAAATGATTTGGGCCCTAGTTTTAAAAGCTCAGTGAACTTCTGTCAGTAGGACTCACTCGTCTCCTCCTGCCCAACCTTCCCATTCAGTGAGCTGCACCGGATAAACTACTGAGTATTTCTGGATGGAGCATAATAGTAGTAGCAGGCCCAATGTATTCCTTGGGCATCATGACTGACCTCAACTTCAGAGGCTAATGCTCTGCATTGGGAAGATTTATTAGAGCATTATTATTCTTTACCCTTGATAGCACCCTTGGGGAAAAAGCCTTATTTGTTTGCAAGCTGCTTTTCACTGCTCTTCTTGCCCAGGGCTTACTTTTATGGAAGACAGGCAAAATATATGGCTTTTAATTTTATTTATTAAACAGAATGGCCTGGACATGAAAGGAGATAGCATGTCTGGCCTAATATGCTTCCATTATCTTTTGTAAGGCTTCTTCAGAATACAAGCGATTTCACTGACAGACAACAACTCACTCTGAATAAGAGAAACTGGCTGATCTTAAAATGATGGTTGCTTGTTCAAGGAAGTCAGAATACAAAGGACAAAACACCACCCCCTAGCGTAAATCTTAAATATTACCTCGCCAATCAGGGAAACAACAATACTGCATGTGACAGGCAATAATACTAAATCAAAGCAGTCTCCTTAGTCTAAATCCACTTCAGATCAAATGAGCTAAAACAAAAAGGTTCTTCCCTCCCCCAGTTTTTAAAAGTATAGAAAACTTAGTGTGTGAGATGATGTCTATACAAACAGACAGCAGCCTCCTATTAAAGGTAGTACCATGAAATCAATTTATAATTATTCTCCACTTCTCAACCCATGGAGTTCTACTGGAAAGAAACCCTCAAGAAAAATGATAAAAAACAACGTTATTTTTCAGACATAATAGTATATGAATGTATACATCCTAGAGATGCAAAATCCAGTTTAAAAAAAGTTAACCAGTTAAATGTCAAGTGTAACTGGTTAATCAGGATCCTGTGGTGCACCCAGCTAGTCTGGAACAGCCCCCTCGCCCCCAGTGTGCTCAGCCTGGAGCCATGGGTGGGGGCTGCTCAGGCCAGGCCCACCATACCACAGGCAGGGAGCTGCAACAGCCCGGCTGGGTTGGCAGTGAACTAGTTACTGGGGATGTTAAATGGCATTTAATCAGCTAATCAACTAGTCAATGGAAATTCCATCGACTAGTCAATTAGTTGATAAGGGGGGAAACTGCAGGGCTGGGAACTAACCCCACTGTGGCTCTGCCTTTTAAATGTATTAAGAGCCACCAGGCTCTTAATACAAACACAAGGCTGAAGTGCAGCGGAGGGACCAGGCACAAGCTGGGAATCAGCTGATTCCCCCCCGCAGAGATGGTGCTGGGGGGGGAGAGAACAGCTTTTAAGCTGGCTCCTCCCGGCACTGCCTCTTGCTGCCTCTCTCTCATATAGAGGCAGCAAGAGGGGGCAACTAGTTGAGTCACTAGTCGACTGTCCAATAATCATATGCTTTTCAGATAGTCGACTAGTCACTTACATCCCTACTAGTTACCTCGTTTACATCTCTAATAAATCCGCTATTGGACAAGAAGAACTCTAAGTCCTGTATGTACTACAGAAATTGCTTCACATACCACTACACAAAATACCTGACCACGGTTGAATTTGGAATTTTGGGGGGTAGAGGGATAGGGGTTTGAGAGGAAGAGCTGAGTTGGACCCAGGCACCTAACTCAGTTAAGCTTGTTAGAAAATGTCAAACTAAGCCTTTTGGTTCAAGCTTTTCATACCATAACCTTCACTTTTCAAAACTCAAAAGTTCTCCAAATGCCACTAGCAGTAAAAATAAACCTCTTTCACACTCCCAACAAATGCTGCAACTGGTGATCCAAAAGAATCAAACCCATGTCTGTTCAGACTGGGACAAGAATTACAGTTTATGTCTTCTACAGTATCAATCGTGTTCAGTGCTTATCTTAATGATTCCTTTTTTATCCAATAATGACTGCACAGACTTTCCACGTTTTGTTTTATTGAGATTTTCATATACACCAACATGTATCAAGAAAATTCATCAAAGACTGACTCTTACTTCTCCTTGCCTTAAACAATAATTGGAAACCATTTTGAAAATGACAGTGGCCATCAACTCTGAGTTAGGGATGTTAAAATTAGATTAATCAACTAATCGAATAGTCGATGGAATTTCCATCAACTATTCGATTAGTTGATAAAAACTGTTCTGCTTTGAAAGTAGCAAGAGCCCACCCAGCATTTCAAAGATATAAGTGCCGCAGGGCTTTCTGCCTTTGAAATAGGGACTCTTGTGCATTTCAAAGATTGAAACTCCATGTGGAGCCAGGGCCAGGCTCCATGCCCTTTCCTGCTGGCCGGTTCCCCCGCCCCCCCCCCCTCCCCCCCCCCCCCCTTGCTGCCTTTTCCTAATAGAGGCAGCAAGCAGGGAGGAACGGGGAGCAACTAGTGTGTTGACTATCCAATCAGCTTTTGCTTATCAGATAGTTGACTAGTTGATTAGTCACTTACATCCCTACTCTGGGTTAATCCAGTTCCAAACAGACACTCTCAGACATTTCAAACTACACAGGGGCAAGCAATACAAAGATTATTATAATATACATATTGTTTTTATAGTTACTAGAATCCTTGAGACTAACAGTTACTAGAATCTTTTTCAAACTTAAATGGGTATGCAAAGTGAGAACTGAAAGGAGCAATCAACATTATTTATAAAACATTTGCCTGTCACTCAACCCACTGGGCAAATTTAGTCCCCCCACCCACACGTACACTTTTAAACAATTCAGTGGAATCATGGTAATTTGGCATATCACTTGAAGACTCACTGTGAATTACTTAATTTTGCAACTTTTGAATAAGTGAACAGTTAAGCAAGCAAGTAAACAAAACACAAGGTGTACTTTATTTTGACAACTGCAATACCTCTGCATACTATCACGGGATACTAATGTTCCCTCTAATCTTTTCCATCCATGTGCAGAATACATTTTATGATGTGCACTGAGGAATACATATGTATGTATCACCAGGAGAAAAATAAACCTAGCTGTGAGTGCTGTGCTAATCAGCTGGGCTGCACTGAAATCTCTTCTGAGAGGCTTCACAAGCTGAGTACTATATTTCACAAAAATAATGTGCTGTTAGCAATTGGGAAGAAAATCACATTTTGCTGAGAAACAAAAGGAAGCTTTTTCTTTGTGAATAATAATGGATACAAATCAGGAAAGTTTACTGGATATATAAGATTGGAATTATTACATTTTTAATTTGTAATATTGATTGTACATGTATCCCGTGAGATGTACCTCACCCAGTATAATAAATGCCCTACCAACCATATAGGTGAAACAAGACAATCGTGTTCTTGAATTAACTCATACAAAAATGATAAAAGATTTTAAAAAAACGTATCACCTATGGGGGGAAAACTTCACAAAACAATCACGCTTTCTAACCTCTGGCTCCTCATCCTCAAAAGAAATCTGCACACTTTCAAAAGACAAGTCTGGGAGCTTAATTACTGTAGACACTAAAATTGTGAATTTAACAGAAACATTAGATTTATGGTTTATTACAACAATTGGTAAGCCACTAACCCTACTTTAAGAATGAGTTAAATTTTGCGAGAGACTGTTTAAGGTGAAGTGAATGGAACAACAATTTGTTTCACCTTGCATTTGGCTGTTAAATGAAGTACATTTCCCACACCTGAAGAAGAGCTCTGTATAAGCTCAAAAGCTTGTATCTTTGGCCAACAGAAGTTGGTTTAATAAAACCTCATCCACCTAGTCTCTCTGGCTACGTCTACACTGGCGTGATCTTGCGCAAAAACTCTTTAGCGCAAGAGTTCTTGCATTAAAGTAGTTGCGCAAGAAAGTGTCTACACTGGCATGTGCTTTTGCGCAAGAGCATCCTTGCCAGTGTAGACACTCTCTTGCGCAAGAAAGCTCTGATGGCCATTTTAACCATAGGGCTTTCTTGCACAAGAAATTCATGTTGCCTATCTACACTGGCCTCTTGCGCAAGAACAGTTGCACAAAAGGTCTTATTCCTGAGCGGGAGCGTCAGAGTTCTGGTGCAAGAAGCCCTGATTTCATACATTAGAACGTCAGTTTACTTGCATAAGAACACGCAGCCAGTGTAGACAGGCAGCAAGTTTTTGCACAAGAGCGGTCACTTTTGCGCAAGATCGCACCAGCGTAGACACAGCCTCTGATTCCACCAAACATGCACGAACTAAGGAAAGACAGGAAAAACTTAAAAAACAACAAATAGTCTGGTAGCACTTTAAAGACTAACAAAAGATGATACTATCTATACATTTTGTTAGTCTTTAAAGTGCTGCCAGGCTATTTGTTGTTTTTGCTGTTACAGACTAACTTGGCTACCCCTCTGAAGCAGAAGACAGACAGTATCTTGAGCTTTCATGGGCAAAACACATTTCTTCAGATGAGCTTGAGATGAACTTTTTTCTCCACTCAAGCTCATCTGAAGAAGTGGGTTTTTGCTATGAAAGCTCAAGATACTATATATATTTGTTAGTCTCTAGAGTGCCACAGGACTCTCGTTTTTAAACCGAGGAAAGAATATTTCCAACAATAACTGACACATACAGACAGGCAAAATAAGAAAAATACAGCTTGAAAACTTTAGAGTTTGATTTAAGAATATTTATATCGGCTATTTTGTTGCTCATGGTGACGTTGGATATTAATTTTTATGTTATAAAACTTTAACCTTTTGAATTTCAACATTTGCTGTTAAATAATTAATATCCAACCACCTTCTTTAATTTCCCACAACTGAGTAAATTTAAATGGATAAAAAAAATCAAATAGATGCTTAAATATATCCACGATTGAAATAATCAATTAACAACTGAAATCTGCTATACACAAGAACAGCAGGACGAACTGACTACATGACTTAACAAGTCTGCGATCTCAATCACCTATATGGTAAAAGACCCTTGAAGCATAACAGGCTGAGGCCTACTCTCAGTAGGGTGTCAGTTAAAAAGTGAAAGGAAATTATCCCCGCAACCGATCCCTAATTAGGGAAAAGGTAAATGTGGACAAGGGAAGTGGGGCTCCATGGAGCTGTCATTGGGGAGTGAGAGCTGGGAAGGGGGGAAAGGAAGAAGCCTGGTCAACAGAGCTGTCACTCAGCAGAGACCTGCAGCCCCTCTGAATAAGGCCAGAGAGGGAGAAGCAGAAACCTGTCATACTTTGAGGGGTGGGGAGAGAGAGAGAAAAAGAACTGGTCACTGGTCTCTAACTAGAGAGAGGATGCTACCAGTAGGAACTGCCACTAAATTCTTAGGGGAGGAAGCGGGCCCAGAAAAGAACTTGTCACTGTATATTTCAAAGAGAGCCGGAGGAGAAATGGTACCTGTCACCACATTTTGTGGGGAAGGAGAAAGCACCTGCCATTGTATTTGGAGGCAAGAAAAGAGAAGACACCTGTCATTACATTTCGGGGAGGAGGGGGAAGGCCCCCGTCACTCTAGTGCTTGGGTGGGGAGGAGGGAGGAGAAGAGGGAGGGGAAGCCGTCCTT